TCCCGGCGCGGCTCTTCGCGCGCTGCCGGCCACTTGCTGCTCCTCTCCCTGCTGCTGCGCGGGCCTATCTGCTCGCGCAGAGCGGGGTCCTGGGGCCGACTTCGAGCAGCTCTGGCCAAGCAGCCAGCGAGGGCAGGTGGCGATGGACGATGCCCGCTCTCGCGTGGCCCTGGGGGCACACGCTGGGGTGGCAGCGGCGACAACGAGAAGGGCACGACGGGGTGTCCACACGCGCCTCACGCTCGGAGGGGCCTGGCGGCGCATCCCCACTGACCCGGATGGCTGCCCGCGGACCCTCCGCCGCGCGGGCTGGGCCAGCATCCTCAGGAGCACCCGCCAAGACCACAGATACCCGCCGTGCCCTTACCAGCACGGTGTGGTCGGCGTCTGGAGCATCGGCCCACTGCGGGCGGCCAAGGACAGCGGGTGCCTAGGCCCGCAAGAACTCATCCCGCCCCTGGGATTCTGATGTGGCCCATGTCGAGGCTACGGCTTGCCGCCAGTTGCGGTCGACATCAGCGTTGCGGTCTGGAACACTTTCCTTATCAAGCGAAAGAGCTGCAACTCTGCGAAGGATCGATCAAGTTCTTGCAGCTGGCCGTGCCGTCAGGAGCATCTGAAGGCAGTGCAACGGTCCCCCCGTCGCATTCCGGATGGAGTCCAGCCCTGGCTACACAGGCGAACCGAACCATCTTTGCCAGGACCTGTGGCGCCGTGGCTATCCCTGGGCAAAGATGGCCAGAGTCGCCGCCGCCGTCCGCTCAAGCATCCTAGACGCCTCTGCTTCAGTCATGAGAAGATCAAATGCGTCATCGTGCTCACCTGGTCCACTTGCGCGAGCCACGAGCACACGCAGTAAACTGGCGCTGTTGTCCTTCATCATCTCGTAAACGAGGGGGCCGACGACCGGGTGGCAAGTTGGAGATGACCCACCACACAACTAGCACCATCCACGGCTGGTCCCGAGACGTTGGCTGGGCCAGAAGCTGAGGCGAGATGTGCCAGACGATTCGATCGGCACATCCTGCACAACTATCCTTAACACCTGCGACAGTGAATTTCCAGTAAGCTGGCCAGCCTTAGACCAGTTCCGTCCATTCGAGAGCTACAATGCTGCAGCTGCTCCCATATGTGCGCGTGGCACAGGCGATGCCTCGGGGCAGTACGCTCCGCGGCAGCATAGGGAACGCTCGCCATCAGCATACTCAGAGACAGCGATGCGGCACAACATAACGACATGGCGACGTGTATGCTGCAGCAGTCGAAGAGCCGACGACATCACCGCAGCGTTGAACCCAACTCACGAGATACAGCGTGCGACCCTTTGCCATCCACGGGCCATACGTCCTGAAGAACGTGACCTGGCGTCCACGAAAAAAAGGGCAGCCTTCTCTGGCCAACGCCCAAGACGGAGGAAGTCGTGGCAGTCTAGCGCGGAGGGCGAGTCATCCCCGAACCATGTATCAAAGTTGAAACTAACGCCGAAAACAGTTGCGGAAGTGATCTCTCTGCCTGAGTGGCGCTGGGTACTGTATCAACGACGGTCTGCTCTGGATTTGGGGCTACGGACCAAATCAAGCGCAACATGCCAACCGGCAACAATCGAAACCGATTGAAGCTGACCAGTCGGAACCGATCGGAGCTGACGCCGTAGGCCATCAATATGCAATAGCATGACCAGGGAATACTGACGTACCTGCCGAACAGCTGCATCCATGATCCACCAGGGTGGGTCCAGTGGCCAAAATAATCGAGTCGGTCTGGGCATCGCACGCCAACTACAGCCATGCCCAGCATGCCATGCCACCAACGCTCGCATGTGACTGTGACTGTCTTTCACCGTGCGGTACGACTCAGCTCCATGGTCAGGACCGCTTGTGCACCGCGCGCCCACGGGGAGAGGTCAGCCAACCCTGTGGGGCCAGAGATGTCAGCCAACCCCGTGGGGGCAGAGATGTCAGCCAACCCAGGAGAGGTCGGACAGAGGCATGACACCTCACCTGGGAGCTGGCTGCACGCGGCGGAAGAGAGGAACCGGGAGCCCTCAAATCTTGCAGCAGAGCCATACAGAGCCACACAGCACTGTAATGTCAGCCACGGCAGAAAGTCGGCGGCGAGCGAGGGGGGTAAGTAAGGAGGCTGAGAAGGCAAAGGCCTCCTCGGAAGTCGCGGGAGTCCCCCGGCCTTCTGAGGAGTTTGCTGAGCCTTCCCCGAAGACACAGAAAACCTCTCAGAAGGCCGGAGGCCTTCCGAGAAGACCCGCCGCCTTCGGAGAAGGCCTTCTCCTTCTCCCTTCCCCCCCTTGCTCGCCGCGGGGAAGGTGTCACACTCGTGTCAGTGGCAGCCTGCCGCGAGCTCAAAACTCCGCGCGGCCACCATCGATGGGGCGTCGCCTCGCTTATCGTGCTTCGCCACCTCAGGGACAGACCACGCGCCTGTCTACCAGCAGCGGCTGCACAGGGCAAGCTCCGCTCGGGCAGGAACGGTTGTGGTCTGTGGC